ATAACTCATTTTTATAGAAATTAATAACTAATTGTTTACAATTAATTAATATTATAGAAAAATTATCCAATTTACTGACATATATGAAACACAAAAAAATTATTTAAAATTAAGATTTGAATGATATATTATCTACAAAAAATTGTATGGAAAATTTATCTTTCTGAAAATATTATTTATTTAACTATAATATAGATTTTTTACAAAAAGAATGAAATTCGTTTTTGTATTAAAAACCCACAAAAATTAGTTTTTGGTTTTTCTTCACAAATTGGTTAAAATTTTGAAAAACTAGTTTCTCTAAATTTTAGGGAATCTATTTGTTTAAAAGCTTGATTGGCAAGAAAAATGGTTTTTGCAAAAGAAAAAACCAAAAGCAAAAACTTGATTGGATAAAAAATAATTTTAAGAGAAACAAAAAACCAAAAACTAAAACAAAAACCACAAACAATCAACCTAACAGGCCGATTATTCATTCTCTAATTTTACCCGAGTTTTATAACAAAGGTTTATAGTTAGAGTTATTGTGTTTGCGGTAAGTGTAGCCAACTTACTTTTTCATTTTTATACTAGGGTCGGCCCGGACTACGCCCGGGATTTTCCTAACATTTTTTAATTTTAATTATAATTTTGTAAGTATATTTTCATCTATTATATATTGACATCTGTTAGAAAATATAATTCATATAGTTTTTTTCAGTTCTTAAAAGTTGTGATTTTTTTTAATTACTACAAATACTATAACATGATATTTAAAATGAATAAAAATATTGAGTCTTTTTTATGATCTCAATATTATTTATATTTGTTATATATATATATATATATATATATATATATATATATATATATATAATTGTTAAATGTACCTAATCTAAAGTTGTTTTGGGTTTAAACCCATTAAATTCATAACTTTCAAGAAAATTAAAAGATTTATTTATATACATATATATATATATATATATATATATATATATATATATATAATCAATTTTGTCCATCTCGTATTAAGCTATTTTGCTTTATTTTCACCATTTATATTTATGTATAATATCAATTTTGAACGATGACTCTAATTCCATTATGAAAATACTGTAATTTTCTCAGAATTGGCTGTTGAGCCATATTGAATTACACATGATAATGAATGATATGTAACCGAGGCGTTTTCTGAAAAAAAAAACAATAGACAATCAATTTAAGTCATTTTAAATAATTCTAGCTTGTTTCTTTGTTTTGAGTGTCTTATCCTTATTTCATTTTATTCTCAATCTTGAATAGTCTTCTTTACTAAATAGAATTTCATCTCTGCCTTCAACTTCTACAACCTCTTTTTATTATTTATTACTATTATTATTTGTTTTGCTACAACTATTTGGAAACTTGAACACAACCGTTAAGTATGAAAACCATAATTTCAGCATAAAAATTTATACCTTATTGCAAAACATTTTCCAAACCATCTAAAGCTAAATATATTATACTAAGTCATTTGTAACTTAGCAAGTAAATCTCAAATGAACATATATTTTTAGATGTTTGAAAGAGACTCGATTGCCATCTTACATTTATTTTAAAATAAAGAGGGTTAATCATTGAAGAATTGTATCTCTTTTATTTGTAACTACAATATAATTTTACTACAAAGGAGAGTAGTGTTCTCTACTAAGCACATAGTTGCAATAGTCTATTGCTATATTTGATGGAACATATTGTAAACTCATACATTTTAGCATTCACTTCTGACAGCAGTGAAATACTTTCATAAGGACACACTTATCATAAACTTCATACTAAAACATATCTGAGTTACTTACAAAGAGATTCATATCATGAGAGAGAGACCAATACTCAAACTTCATCTAGGCAATCTTGACAATAACCAATACCTCATTTGTCACCATGAAAGCAACGCAATCTCTCAGAGTATCGAACAAAAAGAAGAGTGAGTATTGCTTGCGACAAACACCAGTGTCTAAGTATATAAGACAGAGCCACTTCAACTCTGATTCCTTTAACAAAACCACAGAAACAGCTCTTGTACGCCGTTATTCACGACAAATCACCGATGTGAGCATAACTCAACATTCGCTTCGTAACGCAGCTCTGTCTTGTACTTGGCATCGCAAGACTGATTCAAATAAACAGACTATGTCTTGATTGCAACTCTCTCTAACTTTTTTCTATTCTTTCTTAACTTGGTTTTCTGACATAATGAGATAAGAAAGAAAACAAATAGATTTAGCATAGACTTACCTGTAAAATATGAAATCAGGGGCATCATGTCTTTACTGCCTTTTGAACCCAATAATTGAACCATAAAAATAGACTGTAGTTGATTACCTATTAATCTTACTACTTATCATAAAAAAAATATTTAATAAGACACTTACCCGAGAGTGAGCCTTGATATTGTCTCCTTTGTGAGTCTGAACATCATATTTCTGAGGCTTGAATTGTAAAAATGAATATCTCAATACTGAATCATCTTCCAATCACGCAGATTGAGAGATCAAATTCACCATGGAAGTTGGCACCAATTGCATCCAAATTTTAACGACACCAAAGAGCTTTTTCAGCATACCTTGACACCAATCTGCAACTCTTTTCACATCAGTTGACTACTTTGCATAAACTAAAGATGAGAAACAACGACATAATGCAAAGGAAATCAGATCGATTGATTGCAAAGGTATGGGTTAAAACAGAGCAGACCAATGAGATTAAATCAGAACGCCTATGCCTGCAAGCATAACCAAAACTCCACAGATTTCTTGGCAAATGCAAGGCTAATCATCTATTCGTTCATTAAATGATTATACTGTACATCTGCGGTAATTTTTGGTTCAACAAATGCGAAAAGAAAGGATTCAACAAACATGTTTAATATCTCGCTCAAAAGAGGTTCAATGAAGATCTATATATGAATGTGGACGAAAAAAATAATTGAAAACTAACATCATCATGAGTTTAAGAATGGTTAAACCTTTGGTGGAGCATGTCAACTCCCAATAACTCAAATAAATGAACAGCTGAGTTAGCCATGATACTGTGGTCTACGATACATCTTTTTTTTTGGATTATCACAAACTCTGAGGATGGTGTTCAAGGGAAGAATGCTAACCCTTTTTTAGGAAGAGAAACACCACGTAGAGGATGGATGAGTATCATTGAATGAGAGATCGTGCTTGATTTAGTCGAAGGAGTTAAGAAGTTTCTTAAAGGCGATGAGTCAAGACACTCGTAACGCCTCGGAGGTAATAACCAAAGACAAAACGGCGCAGCAGAAGCTTGAGAGAGTGATTCTTGAAAACGATTCGTATCTCTGGACATGCTTAGTCTCCAGTGTTGATCTGAAGCTTGAGAGAGTGATTCTTGAAAACGATTCGTTTTCGTCTCTGACGAAGAATGCTAGAGCTTTCTTTCGGGTTGGAACATCTACAAAACAGAATAGCAGAAGATTAGCCCATTAACTGAAAAAACCCATTAAAAATCAAATGACTAAGCAAAACTCGCACAGAAAAAGACAAATGTCATATTCTGGTGACAGTATTTAGTGATGTGGCTTAGCAAGAGGGAGGAAAAACCTCTTTTATATAGATAAATAAATAGATGTAATCAGTTCCTAAAGAATACTCTGTTAGTTTGTTTCTAGCCCACATTTTTTATTGGGAAAATTGTCATTTAAATCACCAACTTTCAAATTTGGTTGAAATAAAGCACCAACTTTCTTATAAGTCAAAAAAACACTCAATTTTTCTTGACAAGCCATTTTAGTCACAAACTTTCGTCAACCATACCAATTTAGTCATATCGTCAGTCAACAGTTATAGTTGACTAACGGTATGCCTAAAATGGATTTTAAAGTTGGTGTTTTTTTTGGCACAAATATAAATCAACAACTTTTCAAAATATTAGCTTTTAAATTTTGAAAGTTTTAATAACTATAACATTAATAAATAAAATTGTAAATAAAAAATAAATTCCATTCAAAAATATAAACATAACTCAATGTAAAATTATTAATTAACATATCCTTAATTGGGTATTTTAGTTAAAAAATGATTATGATTTTTTAATTATTTACGATTAATTTTTAAAAAATATTTGTATAATCGTACATGTATTATGTTTTATAATTTTACTGTCAAAAATTTGTTAGTAAAATATTACTTCAATTCTTGATTTTTTAAGCAAAATGAGTTATCGGATAACAAAAAAAGTTATCTATTTTGGTGAAACTTATTATTTTTTTTAATGCAGAAAGCCTCTTGTAAATTTTTTATAGAAATATATAGATTTGTTTGAAGATCTTTATTATAAACTTAAAGAATCATGAATAATTCGTTAATCGATAATTTTTTATTTAAGAAACAAGAGTTTAAATAATATTTCATCAAGAAAACTTTTGAAAATAAAATTATAAAACATAATTCAAATAGGATTATATAAATATTTAAAAACATTAAACGTAAATAATTAAAATATTCTTATTATTTTATAACTAAGATACTCAATTAATGTATGTTAACTAATTATTTTACACTGAGTTTTATTTATATTTTTTCTTGGATTTCTTATTTATAGTTTTATTTATTAGTGCTTCAGCTATAAAAATATTTTCAATATTTAAAATATATCCAATATTGTAAAAAAAAATATTGATTTATATTTGTGCCAAAAAAAAACATCAACTTTGAAAGCCATTTTAGGCCTACCGTTAGTCAGCTATAACTGTTGACTAACGATATGCCTAAATTGGTATAGTCGATGAAAATTTGTGATTAAAATGGCTTGTCGATAAAAGTTGAGTGTTTTTTTGGCTTATGAGAAAGTTGATGCTTTATTTCAACCAAATTTGAAAGTTGGTGACTTAAATGACAATTTTCCCATTTTTTATTTGTAAACAACTCAACATATACGGTCATCAAATCACTAGATAAATATATAGTTTTTCTTTTTCCTCTCTTCGTTATCACCATTATAATATTGTCGATAAGATGCCTCTCGTGTTATCCCGAATGGCTTCACTTAACGCTACTGTGAGCCTTCCACTTTGGGACCACCGCAAAAGGCTAACGTGTGCATCTTCGTCACCTCCGGTATGGAAGCAGAGCCGACGAGTAATCTCCGTCTCTTTCCTCCTGTCCCGCCTCCTTCTCCTCCCTAAAGGTACGCCACCAAAGCTTACATTTCACCACTTCGAATATCGATTTTACATTGATCCGCGTTGTGCTCTTCTTGTATTTCTCTGTCGAATTAGATGCCATGGCGGGTAGCTTGATTGATAAGTACGTCAAGAGGTAAACTGAAATTGACCTCAAAATCTACAATGCTTACGAACTTGAAACTGGGTTTCAGTGAAATGGTTTTGGGTGAGATATCTATAACTTAAAACCAGTTTTTGAATAGGAAAAGACTTGATCCACTTGAAGCATATGTACCACCAGTTATTCTAGCTCAGCTTCAATTCCAAGATCTTGGTAACTCTCTGTCTTTAGAATATTCATCCTGTATAAACTAACACTAAATCTAATTTATGATGCTTGGAGAGAAAATTTTGAGTGTGGACAAGCCTGAATTCGAGGCATGTAGATCGGTACTCAGGTCTGGTCCTGCTAGCTCTTTGCGTGTAAACATTCGAGCCGTAAGTTCAAAAAAAAAAAAACACGCTCTAATAGAACATAATGCATCCTTGTTTATGTTTATAGTATGTGTGATTTAAACTCTCTTCAGGTTGCTCAGTACGCTTCAGATGCTGGTTATTCCCAAACCGCGTCTAATGATGTTGATCGCTGTCTAAGGTATTTATATTCCCCCCACGGATTGTTAGAAGGTGTTACGCTGCAGCGAGTGATGATTATATTGTGTTTATGTTGGTGGGTCAAAAGAGCACTGGAAGAAATGGATTCGCTTTTTCTACGTGCTTCAAGGAAGGATCCAAATGCAACTGTTCAGTTGATGAAGTCACAGCTTGGAACAGCGTTGACAGCACTAGACAGGTAATCCAGATATAGGACCGCACACAGTGGAGAGTGTCTTGCTAACCGAACTATACTTGCTGTGCAGCCTTTTACAAACAGTTCCTTCTGAAGTTCTTGATAAAGGGAAAGCTATGGTTGAAATCTACAGATCACCATCCGAAGAAGATGACAATGTTTCAGACTCCTCTGAGATACAGCAGCTCCAGTCAATACTGTGACAGACTATTACTATCCAGACAGTTCTGATTCCATGTATCCATATTCTATACTGTTAACCTGATTTGGTGAAAGTGACGTTCATATACTAAAACCTGAACAGGGTGCTGCTAATGTAATTGTCTCCGGCCAAACTGTGGTTGATAATCTTCATCCTAGATATTGATATCCGTTGAGGATATCTTCATATCTCAAACGCAAAAGTACTTGCTTATCCCAAGTATTCAGCTTGTAACATGTTTAACAATAATATGAGATTTTCTCGTCTTCCAATGAATCTTATACTACAAGAAATGTCTCAACTCTTTCTTTTAATGAAATGTAAAACTTCCTGTGTGATTTCGGAACTAGATATCAATAAACGAGACAGGTATGGATCCAGAACATTTATTCTTTGTCTTTTCATTACTTGACGATCTTACTCTAAAATGTATCAAGAGAAAACAGATTCCATTCTTGTAGAATATGTTACTGTCCCAAGTTGTCACCAAAGAAGCTTGTGCTTGGGCCTATCACCTTCCCTTTGTTTTCCATGTTTTTTTGCACTGTCGTGTCTTTGATCCGTTTGAGCTTAAAAATCAGAGTTGTACAAACAAACTAAACTTGAGTGGGTGTTGGGTGTCCGACAAAGTGGGCATTCTTGCTTCTCATTGCACCATTCCATAATGCAGCTCCTGCACATGAAAGATGACCCTTTCAATATAATCAAAATGTTTCGGTATATTTGGTTGTGTAGTTGTAGTGAATGTTTGTTGTGAAAGCAGTTTGAACCAATGGACATCAACACAGACTGAAACAGTTTGCGTTTTGAAATGATTTGAACCAAGGGCATCAAGAGAGACTGAAATTGTTTGGATTTAGAAATAACGGGGATGGGGAAGGTTTATTACCAACAAAATACATGACCACAGGGAGTGGCCGTCGGGTGCTGACGGTTGCTTAAGCAGAGAGTGCATTTCCCTACTGCCTGCGACCACAAGTACATAACAAGTGGTAACAAACTGATTTGATCAACATGAGATTAAAAAATACACCACAAGGGCTTTTTAAATTCAGAAAAGCAATAGAATAGTCCCAAAACAGGATTAGTATATGACCTCGTCTCACAAGAATAAACAACTTAGGACCAAGCGAGTGGTCAGCTAACCTTATCCCATATCACAAGGCTAAACTAAATATTTTGTTTTTCTTAGTTACATCTAGACAGACAACCTAAGCGCAATAGCATGGATTATACTAAGAGATGTGTGCCTCTCGTCCAAAATGATCAGTATTTAAAACACCAGCGATTTCAAAATAACAGAGGTTTCTAGGTTGTTTAAGAATCTTGTACCTCCGTAGTTGAAGTTGCATCGGACGCAGACCAGTTTCCCTTTTCAGCTTCTGGAGTTATCAAATTTCCCTCTTCATTTAAAACAGGTAACCCTCTCCCTGCAAGAACAAAACATACCATCGTAAGTTGAAACAATGCGATGCATCATGCACGACTAGCTATGTCACCATCTTCCCTCACATTCCTTTCTAGATAACCTTTCCTTTGGTGCCAATTTATATCATAATTTGATGACATTTTCATACTGACAATCTAATGTCAAAATCCTCCACGAGATACACTGAAAGGAGACTAGGAATTTCAAGAGCTTAATAATGAACGACATGAAATTCAGACCTCCTGAGCTTTGATAAGATCCTATAGACGCCTGCTGAACTGAGTTTGTGATAGATGACAAGTTACTCCGACGCAAGCCTTCAGCAGCAAGGATGCACAATTGGATTAGAAGGAACACTCCGAGAATTTGGTATCTGCTCATCAAGAGTTAAGGGAGTTCAGTTACTTAGTGATGGTAAAAACCAATAGTTGCAGGTTGAAGAAGACATAAAAATCATCACCTAGGTCTCTGATTCAATTGCTTTCCTATGAATACATAACGAACCCCGGAGGCACGTTTCGCTATATGATAATATAGACCTGAAAGAAAAGAAGATCACTACTAAAGAACATCATATAAACTGTAATCTAATTTCGAAAAAATCACCTTCAAAGTAGAAGAGCATCAAATTGGCACGGAGAACCAGTTGTAAGACTTCACGGGCAACAGGGAGAACCTGAATAAAGCACACCCACTAACTAAAATACTCGCAAACAAGAAAACAACCAAACAATGAGAACTAAACCTGCTGGGGTATACATTACCACAGGCCATCTTCGAAGAACTCGGTGCCACAGTCTCTGAAGTCTATCTTTTAACTTAGATAATACAGAAGCTGAATTCTCCATTTGAGATGAAGACGAAAGATCAATCATTCTTGGTGACTGGATATGACTATCATCAGACTGAGACTCATCAAAGGTAATCGCTTGCGAGGCAGCTCTTGAGCTGTAAAAAAAAGGGTATATTAACACCATTCTGTCAGTTTAAAGATATCTCATATTTCGTTGTGAAACAAAGAGTAAGAAAGAACCTAATCCTCTCGGCGATATATGGAACTGCAGTCTGATACAGTATGAACAAAGCACGTCTAGCTGGTGTAGGAGAGAGCCCATAAGGTCCTGCAACCTAAAAAAAAGATCTTTCTTCATCAGAACAGTCACAAGCATCAGAAATCAAAATGGGTTTGTGTTAGAACCTGTATAATGTCACAATACTCCTCTCCTAAAGTTTGTTGCCCTGAACCAGTGGTCAGAACAAAGTAAAGCATTTGCCCAAGAAGTTTCATCTGCCCCCAAAACGTCATAAAAGCTGCAATTACAAAATCTCACCGAAACTATGTATACACACAAAAGGTCGTACCTCTTTCTGGTAAGCTAGAGCAATTCTTGTACCTAGCAGCAGAAGCCGATGAGTGGCCATGCATAAGTTTGGATAAAATAAATGAAATTTCGGAGATTTGGGTACCGAATAGGTGTCGGAAGGCGTCGCGGCAGGCTTCGTGGATGAAAGAAGCGTACTGATCGTCTTTCTCAGCGGCTCTCATAATCTCCGGCTGAGCAGCGAGCGGAAATTGCCGGATTCCGCCGAGAAATCCACTTGAGCCTGGTTCGTCCAGCCTCGCACCCGAATCGCCATTACTCCTAAGCCTCACCATCCAGAGTTTCTGGTAGCTTTTAGTGGATCGATAATCATTTGAGGTGTTCAATCCGGATAAAATGAACCAATTGAAATCAAATCGAACCGAATTGTACTTGATAATACCAATGAATGTTATTTTAACAAACCTAGATATGATTCGGCATATAAAGACTATACCAAATCAACCAAATAAATTGATTAACTAAAATATATTAATATATGTATATACAAATTTATAATAAATTAATAATATATACATGATTTATTTATTTAATATGATATTCGGATTTTAAGCACTGATTATATTATTTTTTTTATCTGCTCTAAGTTAAAAATAATATTCTCATTTTCATCAAAATAAATAATATACATTTTTATTAATAAATATTTGTGCTAAATTATAGTTTTTTAATAATATTCTGATATGAATATTTTCTTCTTTTATTTTTAGAAGTAAAAATGAAAATAAGATATTATATTTTAAAATTAGAGTACGGAAAATATTATGTTTTAATAAATTTGATTTTTAATAATATAAACTAAATTTTGTTGTAAAAGGTAAATATAGTTATGGTTTTCGGTATAAAACCAAATAAACCGAAAACTATTAGTATATAATTCGAACCACCAAAATATTTATGATATTGATATAATAACCAATTTTTATAAACCGAAATTCTGAAAACTGAAAAAATCAAATCGGAACTGAACCGTCATCCGAATTGAACACCCCTAGATAATATCAACTAGTTTTTTATTCATTTTCCCCGCAAATGTTTCATTTTTCTAATAAATAAAAAAATGCTCTCAAATAACACTAAATCAATTTTTTTTCCAAAAGTAATACACAAAATAAAAAATATTCAAAATAGTCTTTATTAAAAAATAGAAGTAAAAAATATCTTATAATTGCAATTATGAGAAAGCTTTTTTTTTTTTTAAATATCACTACCATACCTTATTATTTCCCAATTATCACACAATAATAAATAATAAATATTATTATATAAAGTTTAAAAATACATTTTTATTCCATACTTGGGTTTGAGATTAGTGACTAGAATTTAAAATTTTATATTTAGGAGGTTGGGTAAAAAAGGGTTAGATTAGAGTAAATTTAGTCATTTTAACTTTAGTGTTAATTAATTCATGTTTTGTGTATGCTAATTTTGTTATTATGTTTTGGTGTTATCTATGTGATTTGCCCTTTAATTTAATTTTATTGATAATTGTTATCTACACCATTATTTTGAGAGGCAATTTTCCGTGTTTGAAATTTTATATTTAAAGTTATAACAGTAAATATATATATATATATATATATATATATATATATATATATATATATATATATTATTCTTGATGAATAAATAGTTTTTACTATATAATTAACTATAAATTAAGAGCACATTTCATTGATCTTATATTTATCGTTATATAAACTAGTTTGTATTAGGTTATAAAATCTTTATTAACCTTATTGAATTATTAATTTTATTAATATATAGTTAACCAAAAATTAAAAAGAACTACATTGATTTAATACATCATATAACAAAATATTTTTACATTATACAATTTTTAATAAAAATTAAAAGACACATTAAAAATTGTTTTTTTTCTCAAAAGTAACTCAAAACTCCAAGTCAAATACAAAACTAACCTTCTTTTTTTTAAAGACATTTTATTTGCCCAATCCACCCGAGAAGTTCTGATTATTCTTAAAAATGTTATTCTTTCTTTTTAATTTTTGAAAATGATTGTTTTACTCTGTCATCCTCATCTTCATCAATTAATCATGAAAATGCCATTGCCATCAATTCACCGAACAACCATGAACAACCAAAATGAAGCTCTTAATATATCTAAAAATGAAATTTACTCATCTATATTATTCAAACTCAAGTACATTTTGCTATTGTTAAGAAATAAGGATAGCATGATAAATGAGAATTGTTTGGAAACATGGATAGCAGATTAAGTATTCATTTTATTTGCACATTTAGCCATTCTATTTACAATCAATTAAATACTTTCCTTTTATATTTCTTTTTATTTACAGATTATGCCATTGCATTTAAAATCAATTTAAATTAATTAATTACAATGCTTTTCTTTCTTTGTGGTGAAAATAAATCACAAACTGAATGGTATAGTATATATGATATAAAATAATTTTTAAATATAGTATTACTTTATTTAATTTAGTCAAATATAAAATTTTGAGAGTTAAATTTTCAAGAAAACAAAGTATCATAGAATTAATGATAATTCATACATAACTAACGCAAAAATAATTTTTTGTATGTTGTTTCATTTTAAAATAAATTAACAAAAAAAAAACATGCTAATATATGAATAGTACAAATACATCAAACTGCATCAAATTATAAAATTTCTTATATAATCTTATGTACAAATAAAAATTATTATTAAATATTTATATTATAAAATAATATATTATATTCTATATGTAAATTACAAAACATAAAAAAATATTTTTTTATAAAACAAACCATTTATGAGTTTATGTTGAACATAAGTTAAATCAAACACCTGTACCGGGGTGCGGGTCAAGTTCTAGTTCATTCTTATATCTAATGCCCAAAAACTACATCTCTCTCAATTTCTATCTATGTTCATCTAAAAAAATCTAAGTTTTTTTATTCAAGCTCACGATTTTGGGTCATTAACGATTGAGTAGCTGTTCTGGTGAAGGTGTGTGTGCTTGGAGAACTAAGAAAGATCTCTCAATGGTTGTTGAAGGTATGAATTGAATTTTTTTCCCAGATTTGTTCACTAGAAAACTTAAGTGTAAGTCTTCGTAAGTCTTCTCTGTCGAGAAGACTTCCACGGGAGTTTTTTGGTCAAAGAATAGGTTAGTTTTGCAATTGATTTTTTGTGTGTTTATAGAGAAGGCTGTCATTAAAAATGTTCAACTTTTCTTTGTTAACAAAAGAAGTTCGAGAAGACTTACCTGGAAATCTTCTCGGATAAACATGTTAGTTTTTCAATTGACCAATCTGTATAAGAAATTTAACTTTCTACCGAAGACTTCCCGGAGGAAGACTTACCTGGAAGTCTTCTCAACCATTACATTAAGTCTACTGAAGTCTGCGTAGGTTACTTTGGCAATTGAAAATATAAATTAAAACATTTAAATTAAATTGGAAGACTTTCAGGTAAGTCTTCTGTCCGACGACTTACTTGGAAGTCTTCTGGATTTTTATTCCGTGATTGTGGTCAAACTTAAGGTAATGAAAGAAGACTTACCTGGCGGAAGACTTACCTGAAAATCTTCTCAACAAAAGTCAAATATAGTCAATTGCAAAAGTAATATATGCAGACTTACAGCGATAGCGAGTAAACTTAATGTAAAAATTTCAATTAGGTTAAAGATTTTCGATACAGAAGACTTTAGAAGACTTATGAAAGTCTTTTAAGAAGTCTTCTAAACCCTAAATTTACTATTCACCCAAAATACTTACTTTGAAGACTTATTATTCGTCCAGAATACTAATTATTCACTTATAAGACTTACTATTTGCTTAAAAGACTTACTATTCACCTAAAAGACTTACTATTCCCCTAAGATTCCACAATCTAACCTTAAAACACATACAATACTATAACATAGTTACCAAATCCTAAACAAAAAAAAATCATGACTAACTTACATTCACTCATCTATGTCGAAAACTTTATTAAATCTAAATTTATGTCACTTACAAAGGTCTATAATTAGATGATTATGATTTTTTCCTCTATCAAAATATTTTTAATGAAATTTATAAATTATTTTAAAAACTAATACTTAAGGAAGACTTAGGAAATACTTATTGGAAGATTTAATTTTTAGGCGGTAAACCTAAATTCTTTGAATGTTTTCAGCGAAAAATGCTCTTAAGTCTTCTAGTATATTATATCTTCGAAAATTTAAGTCTTCCAAAACTCAAAATCAAATATATAGCTAAATCACATACAAAAACTTTATTAAGCCTAAATTAAGCTTATAAACTGTTTTATCTACACAAAACTAAACACATATAGCTAAAATTTACTTTAAAAATAAATAAATGTTAAGATTCCACAATCTAACCTTAAAAACACATACAATACTAGACCATAGTTACCAAACCCTAAACAAAAGAATATCATGACTAACTTACATTCACTCATGTATGTTGAAAACAATTAAATTTTATTAAATCTAGATTTATATCATTTACAAATGTCGGAAACAATATCGATCGATGTGCAAACAGATGCATCGATCGTCGTATGTGGTGTCGTGTCAATCGATATCGACACGACATCGTCGGTCGACAGGGTGGTAATCTTTCTACTTGGATATCTTTTTTATAATAGGAAAAACACTCAAAATAAATCAAAATGTTAGCAAACCTCCCCCAGACTTAAACAATACTCTCACCAGCGTTATATAGTCTAAGATCGGTGGGAAAGTAAATCAAAATTATTAGATTTAAGAAGGAAAAACGGTATACCTGCCTCTTATGTGAATGTCAACCAACACAGTTAAGTGGCGATCGATACTCTTGATGCTCTGTTGATCGATGCTGCGCAGCCATCATTGATCTTCATGGAAACTCGTCTTCTTTGGATCTGAAATAAATAGAACACAAATAGAAATAATAAAAAGAATGTTTTATTCCGATGAATAGTAGATGCTACAGTAAATCTGCTACAGTAACGTAGCTACAGTAACATAGCTACAGTGTCACTCGACAGGACAACTAAAGTATCGATCAACGGGACTGCTACAGTGTCAATCGACGGGATGCTACAGTGCCTCTGCTACGGTAACTTCATTGTTCACGTTTTTTTTTCTGAAATCAATAAGTAACAAAAATCAGTAATAAATGAAAATAAACCAAATTTAAAACAAACCTAAGAGTGGGTTGCCTCCCACTCAGCGCTTATTATCAGTCATTAGGTTGACTTCTGAAGATCTGATTCAGTCCGGATGAGAATGAGAACATGCTACAAAATAAGTCT